AACACCACTTCATGGTAGTGTTCCTTTATTTATTTTCAGATTTCCTCTGGTGATGAAAATTGGAATATATTAAAGCAACACTTGAATATTCCAGTGTTCGTTTATTTGTTTCTCTCAGTATATGATGTCATCATAGTCTGTGCCATCAAAAACTGATCACATGACATCATCTGAGAAACAGGGTTCGTACATCGAGTTGCTTTGTATGGCTGCTTTGGTCTTCCTGTTTCCACTTAACAGGTCAAAGGGTCATAGAGGGTTTTACATGACGCGTGATTCCTGCGTATTTGACGCAACAATTTTGTAAACGACTCTCAAAATATTATCATACGAGTCAAGCTTGACGCAAGTTTTATGAGTGGCCCTCAAAATTCAGTTCAATAAAATCAATTTGATAAGCAAAAGTTTGACTTTCACAGAGCTGTCAGATTGTTCCAGAGCGCTCAGAGGAGACAGTAATCCTAGCTGTTTGAATTGAACAATGCTGTAGTTTCATTTGGTGGTGTGACATACACAGTTACATACTGAGAATGATTAACACAAAGATTTCATGACTCCCAAATATTGAAAATGACTCCCCAAAATAAATATTGCGAGTCACCATGATTCTCATTTAAAAGTCTGTGTAAAACCGTGGTAATATACAGAATAAACTACTTAACCCTCACAGTTTAAATTGAATGAATGGTGTTAGTTCTGAGACGCAATAATTCCTCATATAGAGCAGTGGTATCTGGTGTCTCTAATCAGTGAACGAGTGAGTTCAGTTTTACGCCTCTTTTAGCACTATTCCAGCAATATTCACGTCGGGGAACACCAGAAATGGGCTTCACACATTGTACCCATATGGTCTGGTGTCTGTAACTAAAATATGTCTACTAGAGGTGTAGAAAGATGTGTTTGGTATCCTTAGAAAGCTTGTAATCTCTAGTTTTCCAAAACAAATGTCGCCAGACTTGAACCTGTCAGTGTGTCTTTCTGGGGTGTTGTAACCATGCTATTTTAGAAGGAACACTACTGTTATAAATGAAGGGTAAACCATCACTCAGAATAGATATTCTATCAGTTTTGAGAATACAGGGGTCGCTCCAAATCCTGATACACCGAACCAAACAACAAGGTCATGGCTAGCTGGAGATTTGCCACTCATTGGTTAATCTCTAACTCTCGTACATTAATATCTAGAAAAGCAATGGCTTAACATGACATAGTACACATCCTTGCCATGACAAAAATCCATTCTGATTATGGAAACAAACAAGAATGTTTGAACTACTGAAGGACCAATTGTTTTAAAAATATATGAATAGAACAAAGATGCAAAGATGCAATAAACAAGAAGTTGTCATCCATAAAGTTGTATCCTTCATTTTTGACTAGTTAAGTTATTCCACACCGTGTCAGCTTCCTGCAGCAAGATCACACACAGTGGGGCAGGTCTTGAAAGTATACCGCTTTGGTAAAACCCACAAGAAAGGTTATCGTGCTGACAAACTTTTGAACATTATAGGGAAAAGCAGTGATTTGAACACAGTTACAGGTTCCTGGCATGCCAAAGAGAGGTAACTCTAGAAGATAATTCTTAAGACATCTCAACCAGACATACCTGCACAACTGAACTGAATTTCAATGAAATATTGTAATGTTGTGTAGCTTTTTCCTCAGTCTAGTTATCACGACATGGCTGAAATGTTGCCGATGTGACTTAAAATCTTAACTCACTCACTCTCTTAGTTCAATCACCAACCAAGTGTCTCGACAGCCAGGAGCCAGGGATATCACTGGAATACATCTACATTTAGTAGTTTGACAGTTACACAGTTGACGTATGGACTTCAGATCATTTATGTTTCAGTAGTTCTTTCCGACCCAGCTGTCAATCATTACATGGTAAAAATACCAGCTGCTACACTGAGACATATGTATTTAAAGAATGATGAAGTCGAAGGGCATAAATCAATTCTGTTTTCACTGATACTTGAGTGTTCAAAAGATCAATCCATCTTTGTTCTATTCATACTTGTTTTAAAACAATTGGTCCTTCAGTAGTTCAAACATTCTTGTTTGTCTCTAAAATCAGAATGGGTTATGACCCCCAAGCAAAAGATTTTTCTAAATTTCCTTTTTTTCAAAGTCATTTTATTACTTATTTAAAACAAATGTGATGAGTGAGGAACACTTTTCCACTCTAGTGAGTGAGTATGGTTTTACCCAGCTTTTAGCAATGTTCCAGCAATACCACGGCGGAGGACACCAGAAAAGGGCTTCACACATTGCACCCATTGGGGGGAATCGAACATGGGTCTTCGGCGTGACAAGCGAACGTGTTAACCACTAGGCTACTCCACCACCCTTTTTCACTCGAACAAACACAAGCCTTTAATACAAAGTCAGTTGTCAAGCATGTCATTTTATGAACTGTAAACTATGCTCACATGTTTGACAAATGTTTTTTGTTTGTAATAAAAATGACTGATAAGCAGAATTTAAAATGAAACACCAATGCTCAAGCAACATGTTCTCTATTTTTAGTCTCAAAGAGGCTGTATATCATCTGTATATCATCTGTATATCAATGGGTATTGGTCAATGTCAATATTGGCTGACCCCAAACAGGACCCTTCAAATCACAGCCTAAATCACATGCCTGGAAACCTTTTTGCACATGATCATACTTCTAAGCTGTGTGGCTTACATCATACATATTCAGCAGTGGAAACTGTGCAAATTACCTCACTTCACAGATGGAGATTTGGAACATTAACAACAATGATAATAATTCTTAGAATATTACTCTAATGCCTGGTGGCCGTTTTTCTGAAAGTGGTTTCTGAAACCACAGGTTTAGCTTGAATGAAAATTTTAAAGCCAAGGTTTTGTGTTGTCTTTCTTACTAGTGGTCCTCCATGCACTCTACAAAGGAGTTGTCTCCCTAAACAGATGCAGGGTAAACCACATTATATTTCCTAAGGTGCACCTCCTGGAGGTTTATGGAGATCATAGAGTCTCTTACAGAGATAGTCTGTATGAGGTTCTGTATAGGCTGAGACTCCATCCCAAACTTGGTATTCCCGGGTAATCGATAATCATCGGTATCACGTTTTTCAGTCAAGACAGTATTCTATTCTGGGTAGATTCCCAGTCATGTTCACACCTCCATCACTGGCATGTGATACTGTGAATATGTTGCCATGGGAACACAATGTGTTAAAAATCTGATGAAATGTTTCCATGGAAACACAATGTGTTATACTTTGACGAAAAATACAGCTAAGGTCAAACTCCTGTTGAAATATATTTACTAATTCCACCTTGAACAAAACAGGTTTATGATTATACTCTATTAAATAACATTTGTATCGGGTAAACACCTCAATCTAGTGTTCAATACAGAATTGGAAGCATAATGGCTACCCTCAAGATAACAAGAGTAGTCCCCCTTGTCTCAGTAGCAACAGAGGATTTTATGTTGTATTATCACAGGTTCTGGAGGATTACAGACCTCTTTTGTAAGAGTTATAAGTGAGTTGAAATTGTCCTTGTAATTTTGCTGACTTCATTCTCCAAACAAATTACACCTGATGACAAACATCAATATGTTTAAGAACGGATACATCTCAATATTTTGTTTTACTTATCAAATGTTGATGGGTTAATAGGATTTGCTTTTGAATTTGTGAGTGATTTGGGGATTTTTTTCAGATAATATATTACAAAACATGTATGCATATTTAATCCAGTCACATATCATATTTATGGCATTTTGTACACAATCACAAAGACTTCCAACAATCTCATTTCACAAAAATATTGTTACAAAGTCTCCTTTTCTAGATTTCTTGATATGAGTTTTAATATGTATTAAATATAGACATCAATATTTACTGAGAACCACACCTTCAACTGATGAGACACTTGGTCCTCAGCAAACATAGTATAAGAAACACAAAAATACTATTCAAAAAGTATTTAGCATTTATTGGCTCTGGTATTTTTTTAACCATACATTCAGTTTATTCTGGTGTACAATTTCCTGGGCATTGTATATGTTTAGGACATATACCGGGAATTCCTGTATTTAGGCCCATGCGAAATTTAGCCCATGGGCTAAAATACGGGATTTTTTCCGTACTTAAGCCCATGGGCTTTAATTTGGATTTAATTCTTGGGTGTTTGGAGTGATTTTCCGTACACCTTTCAATGAACAGATGGTATCATCACATTTTGACAGTGAGCTGTATACACCTGTCAACAAAGTAGTACAATCAACTCTGCTTTTAAGCAGGGATTTCTTATTGATGTGGAAAGGGTTCTCTCGCTTCTATTAACACATTGAGTTACTTTGTGGTTATCACGTTGTCCATCTGAAACTTTCACCATGAAATGGATACATACATCTATATCCTCAATCACTGTGGTATAATAAAAGTGTTTAATTTAAAGCATTAGATGGAGGTTTGAAGCTTTCTAGAGTAGTAGTGATGGTTTTACTAATGATGAGCTGTGAATGTGAAAGGTTCTTTTGCAGATCACTTTTATCTAAAAAACATGTCAGCATGGGATTACAAGATGTTTGTGCACACACTGATATTTTCATGATATATAATGCACAAGTTTTAATTACATCATAAAGTTTATGGGTGAACATCTCAGAACACAAAAACTCATTTTGTGTCATGTTTTCAATGACAATAACACGACTACCAAATGTCCATTTGTTGGGGCTATCATGCTTGCATATGTTTACATACTACACAAAGAAGATAAGGAACACAGTTTCTTCATAATATTCAATGACTGATGACCTATAGTACTGGGTGTTTCTTAACTTCTTGTGAGCAGTGTATATTTGTTGAATGTGATCACCGTCTTTCGCTTCAAATGTGTGTCCCCAATGGAAACTTGTCTCTGTAATAAACCATCTGCAAATCTTTTATAACCTCAGTCTTTTATATAGCGCACAGTCAGGACAGTGCAATCCCATCACCATGGTTACTTACGTCTCTTCAGGGAGGCTGCCTGTAGAATGGCAGTGACAACATCACAGTTTCGATGGAGTTTCGCGATCCGCCGGTCTCGACATTTAAGCTGCCGCACCAGGCGGGTGGAAGACTGATTAATACTGCGTTGTATATCCCCAAACATCTTACGAAGCTGAGAAATATCTGAAAAATACAGCGAAAGGGAAATATATCAAATTCATATTCATATACATATATCTTGCCATTTTACCACCCTTAAACTCATACCACACCCATGAGGGGCATTAACTGACAGATCAAGGGCTGGCACAATGTGCAAGCTGTTTTTCATTGCATATGCATACATATCAGCAATAGTCCAGCTTTATAAGATTGATAAGTAAAATACCTGATAAGTAAACAATTTTTGGCGAGTCCCTTGACATTTTACTTATCAGGTTTCCACTGTATATGGCAGCGGACTGTAAATAATCGAGTCTGGACCGGACAATCCAGTATGAGCATCGATCTGCGCAATTGGGAACCGATGACATGTGTCAACCAAGTCAGCGAGCCTGACCACCCGATCCCGTTAGATGGCTCTTACGACAAGCATGGGTTACTGAAGATCAATATTCTAACCGGGACCTTCACGGGTTAGTAAGCCTATGATGAAGTATGGGCGAGTAAATGACTTTAGGTTTACACCACTTATAGCAATATTCCAGCAATATCACAGCAGGGGACACCAGAAATGGGCTTCACAAATTGTACCCATGTAGGGAATTGAATCCAGGTCTATGGCGTGACTAGTGAACACTTTAACCACCAGGCTACCCCAACACCCCTTTAAATTATGGGCGTTATGATCATCTTAGCTCAACGATAACTTTGTGCAAGGATTTTTATTCTTAACCAGAAAAATTCATGGACTATGGAGATATACATATAGGAGTATATATACGGGAGAGGGCTTTTCTAAGATGGTTAACTTGTGCCCAATCCTTTTCTTGAATGAATAAAATATGTTTAAAACATACACCTAGACCTTAGGTCTTTAGTTAATGAAACAATGGCTTGGAGACTAGAGAAAAATGAAATCAATGAATATTCAATGTCTACAAGACTCACTACAAATTTCCCCCAAACACTGTTTTCCACAAATTATAACAGCATGACATTTATAAATCTTATAATAACTGCTAAAAGTACTCACAGACTAACACTTAGTCACAGAAATAAAGTTGGCTAAGTAAGCTTAGTGTGTTAAACAACATACAACAAACTTCTCTTCAAGACTGAGATAGCAGTTGAAACACTCATAAAATCTGTTTGCATTCTGATTCTTTCACAAGAATCTTGGGTCATGAAACTGAACTTTACAGTTATCGTAGAGGTCAGCTCGGTTCATGTCAACATACAACTGATTAACATTCTGTTATCTTGGTTCCGTCACATTATTTCAGGAAAACTTTCAGCACGCTGAGAGCTCAGCAACATGACGTTTATGACTTCTTCATTCCTTCCATGTGGGAGACCGACCAAACATGAAAACTTCTTGAGATTAATTTTTCCACCTGTTGTGTCTTGGTACAAATATCTGGTCTTGGTTTGATCTAACACGCTAGTCATAGATTAATAGATATATAAGAATTGACTCTGTGGTAACTGACTGGCTAAACAATTCACTATAAAAGAGGGGTGATGGAGTAGCCTAGTGGTTAAAGCTTTCGCTCATCACGCCAAAGACCTAGGTTCAATTCCCCACATGGGTACATTGCGTGAAGCCTATTTCTGGTGTCCCCCACCGTGAAATTCATGGAATATTGCTAAAGGTGATGTAAAACTAACCCACCCACACACTCACTCACCGTTTCACCCACGAACCCATCCGCTCACTCACTACAAAAGAAGTGGAGCTGGCATTTTTTGAAGAGGCATTTGATAAAAAGACAAAATTTTCCCAAAAAATGTATCTTGTAAGCATTTATTGCAAGTGTGAATATACTCTTCAAAAATGTCCTAATTGATTTTTCCCTCACTGCACGCCATTAAATTTGTTTTTCCCTGATTCTCTGGAGATGTATCAGATGAACCAACTCCCAGCTTGGAACACGGAATTAATGCAGAAGTCTGAATTTTAACTGATTACACACATTGGCGGCAAAACATGTATAATATCAAGTTTTGCGTGGCGTGATATGGGAAACAATATGTTAAAAACTACTTTGTACACATAAAACACAAAATAGTCACAACTCCACATGTTGACAAGGTGAACCACTTGAAAAACAACACAACATGTAATTTTAGGGTGTAGAGTGAGGGAGTGAGTTTAGTTTTACGCCACACTCAGCAATATTCCAGCTGTATGGCGGCGGTCTGTAAACAATCGAGTCTGGACCAGACAATCCAGTGATCAACAACATGAGCATCGATCTGTGCAATTGGGAACCGATGACATGTGTCAACCAAGTCAGCGAGCCTGACCACCCGATCCCGTTAGTCGCCTCTTACGACAAGCATAGTCACCTTTTGTGGCAAGCAAGGGTTGCTGAAGACCTATTCTACCGCGGATCTTCACGGGTTGATCAATATTGTGAGCAAATCCACATCATCTGGATACAATGACAAGCAATCAGTCGATCAGACTCGCAGACATCTTTGGATGCATATCACATCAAACTTGCATAGATCGATACTCGTTATTCACTTAATAGTCTAGTCCAGACTTGATTATTTACAGACCACTTTTACATATAACATATATATTTGGCATTTCACTTTCTCAGTAAAGGAAAGATTCTAGTACTTTTGTTTGGTTGAGTCCCATCCTGGATTTGACTGACTGACTGACCGAGTTTGGTTTTACACCGCTTTTAGCAATATTCCAGCAACATCATGGCAGGGGACACCAGAAATGGGCTTCACACATTGTACCCATGTGGGGAATCGAACCCAGGTCTTCGGCGTGACGAGCCAACGCTCCACTCCCTCCCTGGACTTGAACTGAAAGCCTGAGAGTCTGGCACCTAATCGCCAGCACACAAAGTCAGCAGTTAAAGCCACTTGACTGAAAAAGTGTAATCCCAAATATATCACATGTTACATTTCACCACTTTCTAAATGGCATTGTGTATTCATACACTCAAAATGCTGGAAAAGTGCTGAGTGAAGCAGAAAACAAGAAGACATGGTCATCAATATCCACTGCCACAGTGTTCTGGTCCTGTTTGGTTCCTGTTTTTAACTCCGCCCTGAAAACACATTTGGTTCCTTATCTATAACGGTTTCTGAGAAAATCTGTCCCCATTGGGGATACCCTGCACTAAGTCAAGACACACATGACAAGGGCTATAACTCTGTAACAAATCGTAACATGGTTTCTGTGTTCGAACCTTCAAGCCATTCATGTCCTGAAAAGACATACCAAATTTGGTTTCCCTCTCTTTCAAGGTTTTTGAGAAAATCTGTCCCCATCTCGGACCGACGTACAAAACTCAAAATTATATCCCCGGGGAAAATAACAGACAGACAGACAGACAAAACACAAAAATCACCCTGGCTTTGTCACCATATACAGATCTGATACAACTGATTATATATGTCGTATGCCCCATTTTGGTTTTGCTGTTGTTGGACTTATAATAGAGGGGCATATCCAGATGTGTTCAGCTGCCTGTTACAAGGCAAAATTTCAGTAAAATTTCTCAACTTGGAATAAAACCAATTCCCAGTTCATGAAAAATTCCCAATTTTGAATAAAACCAACTCCCAGTTCATGTTCATAGTGCTATAACTTTTATAACATTATGGCTTTGTAAAGGTGACCTGTATATTGTAAATAACAGGATCAATACAGAGAAAGTGGCTTTTTGATTTGTTATACCATTGCACTGAGGTTAATGACAAAATACCATTAAAGTTCAGAAATGTTACAAATCCAAAATTTAAACAAAATCATTTTTTCAACTTTGCCAGCGAGGTGAGTTTATTCAGGAATCATTGATAAATCCCTGTAAAGAGTTGTGAGTTTGACAATTTTACTCTGCCTTTCCTAATTTAAGTGTGGCATCTATCGTTCCCAACTGGAGCTCCACAATAACATCTCAGCACAAGATAAAGTACATATTTATCTGCATCAACTCAGTATTTAAAAAAATAAGTATTAGACGGAGGTTTATAATGACAGTAATTTACACGAAAATTGCGATAATGAACACACTTATAACAAATGTAACAAATGCATAAGTTGAAGTTACACTCATTGTCATGCAATTATAATGCTCTGAAACAAAAATAACTTTTAAACTACAGTAGTTTCACATAATTGCTTATAAAGTCATAAATCTTTATTAATGATCTTACATATATTTGAGAGAATCACGTTTAGTTCACCGAAATACCATACAAAAAAAACCCAGAAATCAAGAACACTGACAGTAGCTCGAGCATATGATTAAAGATATTATTTAATTAAATTAATTAAAGATTCTATTAAATATGGCTGCTGCTCTGTATTCACTGACATCATAGTATTACAGCTTAGTTTAGAGAACCTGCAGGTATGCAGATCTTGAGTGAGTGAGTGAGTTGGATTTTATGATGCTTTTAGCAATATTCCAGCAATATCATGGCCGGGGATACCAGCAATGGTCTTCACAGTGCTGATGTTGAATTCTCGGGAGATACTTACCACTTTGATGAAGCCCACAAACATATTTTATATAATTTCTTATTTTGTTTTCTCTCATAGATACATTTCCAGTATGCACTTTTAAAAGACATGCTTTCAAAAAATGGACAAAGTGAGACAATTAAACAGTAGATGAAATGGAAACAAAAATTTGACTCAATATTGCTACATAATTTACAATGATATAATATTGATACAATTCCCACTGCAGGAACTGAAAGTATTCCTTATGTGATTAAGTGTGAATGAGTTTAGTTTTACGCTGCTTGTAGCAATATTCCAGCAATATCACGGCTTGTGACACCAGAAATGGGCTTCACACAATGTACCCATGTGGGGAATTGAACCCGGGTCTTTATGACAGGCAAACGCTTTAACCACTAGGCTACCCAGCTACTCCCACTCAGTGATTATTGGGGACATTCCTGCCCCAAACATGGGGTGTGCAGATTCAGAGCAGTGGGTCGCAGATCAAGAAATTTTGCTTTCAAACACTGTATATGCATTTTGAATTTTGCATTTGTACAAACATAAGCAACTAAAATGTACCTGAGTAATGTCCCTTTATTACACCAACATGCAAGTAATCTGGTGTTTTCTTCGTAAGGGTCACTATATAGCTGAAATATTGCCGAGGTGACGTTAAATCTTAACTCACTCACTCTTCGTAAGGGTCACTATATAGCTGAAATATTGCCGAGGTGACGTTAAATTTTAAGTTATTTAACTCACTCACTCTTCTTAAGGGTAACTTAATGGCTGAGATATTGCCGAGGCGACGTTAAATCTTAACTCACTCACTCTTCGTAAGGACAAGGCTAATGACTTCTGGACACAGTCACACAAAATCAAACAGGACAAATTATGTTTCTACTACATTTTACTGTTTTAAGTCGTTTGTTCTGACAAGCTGGTACCTTTTCTTTCAAGGGTATATATCAGCGCACCAGACAGACAAATTTATAACACTAGCAAGTTATTCAACACGACCCTGTTGCCGTATCACATGAACTCTAATCCTCAACAACAAAAACTGATAAACATTGTGTAACAACAATGTCAGGCAGCACAAGCCGACAGCAGTTTCCCCAACATTCCGTTTGACGAAATGTCACCCTCCATCTGATGAAGGTCGCCAGTCGATATATGCACAATCTATAACACACAGTGTGACACATCACTTCAGGGAATACCATGTCCTCTTTCAAGAATTTACAACCAAATTCCTGGCAACAGCTGCTAGAGAATGAATTAAAGGAATGCGTTATCGTGACAATTACCACTGCTGGCATTGACCGAGGATCATTGTTCCAGGATTGTTGTTCTATTGTTATGTATTAGAAATGTAGACATAGCTTTAAATATTCATGCTTTATGGGTTATGGGTCATAGGTCATAGGCTGTATGGAGTCATTCTGACCTTGTAGTAATCGGAATGCTTTTGAACATGATAGGGCTCAGAGAGCAGTACAATGAAAGTCAAGGCCATTATTGAAGCTCTTGCACATGAAACAAGTTACCAAAATATCTGTGATGAAATTACACTATCATAACATTACTCGAGTGAGTGAGTGAGTTTAGCTTTACGCCGTTTTTAACAATATTCCAGCAATATCAAGGCATGGGACAATAAAAATTGGCTTCAAGCATTGTGCCCATATGGGGAATCGAACCCGGGTCTTCAGTGTGAGGGGTGAACGCTTTAACCACTAGGCTACCCCATCGCCTCAACACTAATCAATGCAGCTTTGAAGGAATTGCTGGTAGAAATAGTACCAAGGAATCAAACTTTTCAGTTAATACAAGTTAAGGCCAGACCAATTTTATTTCTTGTTTTACGGATCCGCCAGTCGTATTTTGTCAAGATTAAGAAAAAATAAATAAATTAATTTTCCCTGCTCAAAAAATAAAATTTTAATATTTTTATTGGCCAAAACTGTAAATGTGCAAGAAAATGCCTTTAGATTGTTTTTCCCCCTATAAACTTCATAAATTGCCAGAAGTAAAATACTTTTAATATTTAGAAGGAATATTACTTTGACTGGACATATTTTATTTTATTTTTTTCCCACCTGCCTTTAGGTTTTCTGAGGACGAAAATCCATAAAACATAATAAACCTCCTCAAAAAACATCAATCGATAGCATGCACAATAACCTATTACCACATCTCAAATAGTTCTACTAATGCATTGTGATGTTAATTTTCCCAAGGAACTCACAAATGTTAAATAACTGGTAGGTCAGAGATAATCTGGAGAGATGAAAAAAATGGCATTCTTCAGGGAAAGGTCATGAAACTGGTACACATATTCTGGTAATGTCAGGAAAAATAGGACATAGTTAATAAAACATTAAGTGATTTTGCATTTTGTCTTTTCAGAAGTCATTCACAAGGTCATGGAGAAGGTCATCCATTTGGGAGAATGTTCATTATTTTTTGTTGGGGACCGTTTGTTAATAATTTATGGCTGGGGAGGGGGGGATGATGAATTTTATGGAGAAGCATGTACAATGTGAATGACCCCCCTAAATTTATGTACAAAGTAAGTGAACCCCCCTGCATGTCATGAACAAAATCAATGACCCCCCTCCACCTTCCCATAATTTTTAAGCATAATTTTAAAATATTTTTATGTACAAAATTGCTGATCCCCCAGTCCATGTGTACAAAATTGATGACCCTCCCATCTCCCAGAACAAATGGGTGACCCCCATCCCACCCCCTCTCCATCATCACCCACCCTAGCCATAAATTATGAACGGTCCCTTAATTTGTGCATCAAAAACCTATTTGAGCAGATGCTCTATCCACTACACAGGGGCAGTGGGGCAGCCTAGTGGTTAAAGCTTTCGCTTGTCATGCCAAACATGTTTTATTTCTGGTGTCCCCTGCAGTGATGTTGCTGGAGTATTGCTAAAAGTGGAGTAAAACCTCACTCACTCACTTGTTGGACTCATCTATATAAAAGGCCACTGTCATAAAGCTGTAATTAAGTTTCTGTTGTGTTCATTGTAATTCCTGCATTGTAACTGGCTGTACTGCTCACTGCTGTGTGGATTGATAGAGTTTGCACATAGGTTTTTCAATTCATACCTCACTGAATGGAAAACAATAAACAGTCAATCCTAAGTATTATTGCAGTGTGTGACGTAAAACAAACTTGTGTAAACTGAAAGATACATGGCAGAGGGCCTAAACTGATCAGTAAAGTTAACAACAGCTGGGGACAAGGATGAGTGAAATTAACGCTGTCAATCTCTAACACAAGGCTGTTGATGGGCCGATATACAGATGATAGCTGCAACATCCTGCAACTGATGAGAGCTGTTGTCCAATCAATACCTGGCAGCATGGCTTCCAATTAGAAGTGAAAATGTTGATGAGGACGTGCTTGTGTTGCTATTGAGAACTATTAATGATAATCCCATTAATCCTGGTTCTTCTCGAGAGATATTTAAACACATAATTTGGCTCTATCCTGCAACAGTTTTAGCATCGGAGATATTAAATAAAAGCTTCAAGGAATGAGTGAGAGAATGGGGCATTTTTGTAGACTGTAGGGATGAGATCATGAGATGGGCTCGGTGGATCAGAGTGGTGAGCTGCAGGGTGTAACGGAAGGGAGCGGTGAGCTGCAAGGTGGAAAGGAAGGGCACGGTGAGCTGCAAGGTGGAGAGGAAGGGCGCGGTGAGCTGCAGGCTGGAGAGAAAGAGCGTAGTGAGCTGCAAGGTGGAGAGGAAGGGCGTGGTGAGCTGCAGGGTGGAAAGGAAGGGTGCGATGAGCTGCAAGGTGGAGAGGAAGGGCATGGTGAGCTGCAAGGTGGAAAGGAAGGGCACGGTGAGCTGCAAGGTGGAGAGGAAGGGCGTGGTGAGCTGCAAGGTGGAGAGGAAGGGCATGGTGAGCTGCAAGGTGGAGAGGAAGGGCATGGTGAGCTGCAAGGTGGAGAGAAAGGGCATGGTGAGCTGCAGGGTGGAGGAAGAGGAAGGGAGGGCATGGTGAGCTGCAGGGTGGAGAGGGAAGGGCATGGTGAGCTGCAGGGTGGAGAGGAAAGAAGGGCGCGGTGAGCTGCAGGGTGGAGAGGAAGGGCGTGGTGAGCTGCAAGGTGGAGAAAGGGAAGGGAGCTGCAAGTGAGCTGCAAGGGTGGAGCTACAAGGTGGCGGGTCACGATGAGCTGGTGAGCTGCAAGGTGGAGAGGAAGGGCATGGTGGTGAGCTGCAAGGTGGAGAGGAAGGGCATGGTGAGCTGCAAGGTGGAGAGGAAGGGCATGGTGAGCTGCAAGGTGGAGAGGAAGGGCGTGGTGAGCTGCAGGGTGGAGAGGAAGGGCATGGTGAGCTGCAGGGTGGAGAGGAAGGGCGTGGTGAGCTGCAGGGTGGAGAGAAAGGGTGTGGTGAGCTGCAAGGTGGAGAAGAAGGGCGTGGTGAGCTACAGGGTTGAGAGGAAGGGCGTGGTGAGCAGCATGGTGAGCTGCAGGGTTGAGAGGAAGAAGCGGTGAGCTGCAGAGTGTGGTGGAGGGATTGATGAGCTGTAAAGAGGGGTGGAAGGGAGCAGTGAGCTGATAGAGTGGTGAAAGAAGCGGAGCTGCAGAGTGTGGTGGAAGAAGCAGTGAGCTGCAGAGTTGGGTGGAGGGATTCATGAGCTGTAAAGAGGAGCGGAAAAGGGCAGTGAGCTGCAGAGTGTGGTGGAAGAAGTGGTGAGCTGCAGAGCATGGTGGAAGAAGCGGTGAGCTGCAGAGTGTGGTGGAAGAAGCGGTGAGCTGCAGAGTGTGGTGGAAGAAGCGGTGAGCTGCAGAGTGTGGTGGAGGGATTGATGAGCTGTAAAGAGGGGTGGAAGGGAGCCGTGAGTTGCAGAGTGTGGAGAAAGCAAGCGGTGAGCTGCAGCACAGAGTGGAAGGGAGTGGTGAGCTGCAGGGTGGAGTGAAAGGGAGTGATGAGTTGCAGAGTATGGTGGAAGGGAGCAGTGAGCTGCAGGGTAGAGCGGAAGGGAATGGTGAACTGCAGGGTGTGGTGGAAGGGAAATGTGAGCTGGTGAGGGTGGTGAAAGGGAGCAATGAGTTGCAGAGCGTGGTGGAAGGGAGCGGTGAACTATAGAGGAGGTTTCTAAATATAACAAAAAACAACAGAAAACCACCTGGGTTTTTTCTTTATACTTATCTGCACTAACAACCGAAACAGAAAAATTTGTAAAATGACGCTAACCAAGTTTTTTGGATGATTGCTCGTTGGTATTGAACCAATCAACTATTGAGAGATTTCAACCAATTCCCAACACTAGTGATCAACAGCATGAGCATCGATCTATGGACTGACTGACTGAGTTTAGTTTTATGCCGCTTTTAGCAATATTCCTGCAATATCACGGTGGGGAACACCAGAAATGGGCTTCACACATTGTGCCCATGTGGGGAATCGAACCCGGGTCTTCGGCGTCGACGAGCCAACGCTTTAACCACTAGGCTACCCCACCGGCCCATCAATCTATGGAACTGGGATACAATGATACAGGTCAACCAAGTCAGGGTAATGACGCTCTAACAACTACACCACGGAGGCGGTACTGTCGGTAAATGAGTGAGGACCAAATATCCGAGTGAGTGACAGAAAGAGCACACTAAAGCCATGTCTCAGCTGTCAGGTTATCAGGTTGTGCCAACACACACTCTGCTAGCAACCAAGTCAGCAAGCCTGACCACCTGATCCCGTTCGTCAACTCTTTCGACAAGCATGGGGTGCTGAAGATCAGTTCTAACCTGGATCTTCCCAAGTTACTGCAGACCAATTCTAACCCTGATCTTCACTGGTTGCTGAAGATTAGTTCTAACCCGGATCAACAAAACGAGGACTGGTGAGCTTGTATACCATGTCTAAATGGGGTGTGTTCGTTAAACTGCAGCAGTGAGGTGAGGTGAGGTGAAATTGGGTTTAACGTCGTGCTTGAGAATATTTCGCTCATATGACGACATGCATGCTTCAGGCACACGTGTGTATATATGTATGTGCAGCTGCTTGTACTAGCCCAGACTTAAGCTGGTTTTATAGTGCTAGCCCACTGAGATACCATGCCGCAGTGAAGCATGAATACCCCACTCAGACACATTATACTGACTCCGAGCCGATCAGTCCTTGATGCACCCATTAATGCAGAGCGCCAGGCAGGGACCAACAAGTACCATATTTTAACGGCTTTTGGTATGACGTGGTTGGGGATCAAACCCGCGACCTTCCGCTCTCCAGGTGGACGCTCTAACCACTACACCACGGAGGCAGTCCCTGCAGCAGTGTATCTCAGAGGACTAGTACTATAACACCAGCAATAGTCCAAAATATAACAAACTCACGTGCACACACTGCAAACAAACACACTGCTATACCAGTGCATAGGACAAGATGCTTCTCTTTCGCATCATGTCAACCTAACGGTCTTCCCCTTGAACTCCATACTTCACTAACCTATTCCGGGGCGGTGGGGTAGCCTAGTGGTTAAAGTGTTCACTCGTCACACCGAAGACCCGGGCTCGATTCCCCACATAGGTTCAAGACGTAAAGCCCATTTCCAGTGTTCCTACCCGCAATATTACAGGAATATTGCTAAAAGCACCGTAAAACTAAAGTCACTCACTAACCTATTCCACCTTTAGAACTGCATTCAAGACCTATTTCTGTCATCAACCTTTTCGAAATTTTTACCCCTCACTGCGCTTTGAGCATGATATTCAGCAGGTAAAAGCACAATACAAACTGACTACTATTATTCTTCAAGCCTTCGTGCTTTCAGTATCGCATTGTGTGATGTGTAGCATATCATACAGTGTACTATAACTTAAGCATCCAGATACAATTTATCTTTACAGTCTTTACAAATAGTCATGGAATAGATATAAAATCTCTCCAGCAGCATCATTTTCCATGAATGGTAATTCCTACTTCTACACATGTATAGATCTTGACATGACTGCACAGTCGCTGTGCACAGTATTCACGATTACAAGCAATATGTCAATATAATGACTGAAATGTACATGACAAGGCACAACATGTGTCGCTACGGACGATCGTTTTGATGTGGTGTCTGTCCAGCCAACTGTCACACTGCATTGCAAATTTGATATTAGTCCAAAATTGATCATTTAATACACAGAATATCCGCTGAAGCAGAATACGGCATTCAAAGGTCATAGCTGTTACACATCAGAACATCAGTTTACTGTTACACCACTATAGTGTATATTTCAGAGTGTCACGTGGTGGTGTGTTCACCCTCGCTACCCTCAGATATGTAGGTTGTATCTCTATACTACTCTAATAATAGCAGCAATTGTAACTAGCCAATATTCACAATGTATCATTGTAACATGAGGCTTATGCTAGGGAGTGAATGATTTTGTGTATATTCATTGTTTAATAAGGGTTATGATATACCTTGACTATGTGGTATATTGGAGTTAGTGATATTGTTTTATCAATTGTCTATGATGGTAATATGTGGCAAGGGAATGTATTATATCAGTCAGTGAGTAATTTCATGTTTATCCATTGTTTATCATAGTAATATAAGACTTGGCAGTGTTAAAACTGAGAGTCGGTAGTTTTGTATTTATCCATTGTTTATTATAATAATATATGGCCTGGCAGTGTTATAACTAAAAGTCAGTAATTTTGTATTTATCCATTGTTTTTTACAGTAATATATGGCTTGGCAGTGTTAAAACTATGACTCGGTAATTTTGTATTTATCTATTGTTTATTATAATAATATATGGCTTGGCAGTGATACAACTGAAAGTCAGTAATTTTGTGTTTATCCATTGTTTATTATAGTAATATATGCTTGGCAGTGATACAACTGAAAGTCAGTATCCATTGTTTATTATAGTAATATATGGCATGGCAGTGTTAAAACTGAAAGTCAGTAATTTTATGTTTATTCATTGTTTATTATAGTAATATATGGCATGGCAGTGTTAAAACTGAAAGTCAGTAATTTTATGTTTATTCATTGTTTATTATAGTAATATATGGAATGGCAGTGTTAA